GTGGTGAGTTGTCCATGGTTGTGATGATGCGCGACATGGTTGAGTTCTACGCCACACAGGCCCAGGTCAATAAAGGCAAGATAGCAAAACGCTTTGAGGCACTGGCCGTTGAGGTGATGAAGGAGCTCGAGAGTTTTGAACAACCACAAATGCAGACTGACCCAACCTGTTTGACGGCGAGCACTGTGAGGCAGCGTTCAAGGCAGACTGGCCTCAAAGGCCGTGGAGCCGGACTCCAACCTAGGTGTTGTTGGTGAGAGGTTGAACGTCAAGGTCACACGTTGTACCAAGGAGGTGAACAATTTAGAGTATGAGAGTACCACGTCACACCTGAAGAACTTCATTCGTGAACACCCAGGTATTGGTTTGTGGGCTAGCCTTCCTTGTGGCCCGTGGAGCCAATGGCAGTACCTCAATGCACACCGCTATGGGGCAGAGTTCAGAAAGAAGTTGGCCAAGTCGAGAGACTTGTCGTTGAAGCTGCTTGATCGCTTTTGCGAGCTTGCTAGATGTGTTGTTGAGCATGGTGGAGATGTTCATTTTGAATGGCCCAGACATGCATTGGGTTGGAAGCAGGCTGCATTGTGCCAGCTCATCCGAGACATTGGCATGACAGTGGTGAATTTTGATGGTTGTGCGGTTGGACTTGTTGATCGGCAGGGCACGCCGTTCCTCAAGAAGTGGCGAGTGGCAACAACAAATGAGAACCTCGCAAAGAACCTGAACGAGTGTCGTTGCAAGCATGGTACTGATTTCAATCATGCGCCCATCACAGGTTCCAATACAAGCACGACTGCAAGATACCCAGAAATCATGTGTGAGATCGTCTTCTCTTCTTTGTTTCCTGACCTTGTTTTCAAGGAGGTGCCCGCCATGCCCGTTTGCGAGACAGCTGTTTGCGTGGTCGCACAGGAACATGTCGAGAAGGAGCCAAAGGAACAGGTCTATCGTGGACCGTTGGTCATTGAAACCGTTGATACCTTTGCAACTCCCGCCGAGCTTGAAGATGACCTTGCTCCCGCGGACGACGAAGCTGAATTTGCAGAGTCGAGAGATGATAGGTTGAAGCGTGAGGCAAAGAGCCTAGACCACATCACGACCCACGCGAAGAAGAATCCTTTTTGTGAACATTGCGTGCGTGGTCGAATGTTGAAAAGATATGCCCACGGGGTTCGACCTGAGCCTAGCGATGAAGCCTACGAGCGATCGGCTGCCTTTGGCCGTGTGCTCGAAGCCGACCACATGTGTCCGTCGGAAGAGAGCGTGAGCAACGCTGGAGAGAAGGTGGCCCTGGTGATCGTTGATCTCTTCTCCGGTCTGAGCATGGCCTATCCGGCCAGAGACAGATCAGAAGAATCCTGTTACAACTCACTGAAACACTTCGGTGGCCATAGGCTGAACGGTGACACTGGTGTCATTTTTAAATCAGATGCGGCCGGTGAGTTGACAGGAGCGGCATCCAGGTTGTGCTGGACAATATCTCCGAGCATCCCAAGGGATTGGCCTCACGCGGCCCACGTCGAACGTGAGGTGAGGACGTTGAAAGAGTTGTGCAGACCCGCACATCTCCAGGCCGGCTTCAGCAAGAAGATGTGGCCGATTTCCCTCGTTTACACCGCAAAAGCTCGTGCCTTTTGGTCGCCTTGTGTGATTCGCAAGCATGAGCGTGGGACGGAGATTGAGGAGCTCAAGACTGGCAAGACCCGTTGGGAGGTTTGCGCAGGTGAGCCTTTCCGTGGAGTGAAGTACCCTCTTGGTGCGCTTGTTTTCTACAGAGCCAAGAGCGATGGAATGGCCGCTCCGACTACAAGACCAGGCTTGTTTGCGGGATGGCGTGTTGACTCAGGCTTGCGATATCGCAATGTCGTGCAAGTTGTTGACTATGAAGCTGTCCGCACAAGAGCGCATTTGCATTGGAGTCCCAAGGACTTGCATGAGAAGGAGGTGTTTTTCCCTCCTGTTGAACACATTGAGTTTCCCTTGTCCAACGCGGCAATGAAGGCGTTGAAGGAAATGTCTGACCCTGATGTTGAGGTGAAGAAGAAGATCTATGACAGATCTCTTGAGTCGGGCGTGCTCCCATATGACATTGACATTGATGCTTTTCCGGAAGACACCTCAGTTGCACCCCCACGTCATGCGTACATTACTTTTTCACGCTTGTTGGAGCATGGTTTTACGAAGGGTTGCCCTGGATGTGATGGTGGCCACTATCGCCACAACAAGGCATGTCGCGAGCGATTTGATGCCATCTTCCCTAGAGAAGCTGCAGCGCCGCCTACACCGGCGCCAGATGTCGGAGCACCAAAGACACCTGGACCGCTTCCAATGCCTAAGAGTTCAGAGAAAACTTCTTCTTCCCCTTCCAAAGGAGCAGCAGAAAAGGAACATTGGGTTGAGCCGGAGACCACCGAAGGTCCCGAGTACTCTCCTGATGAACTTCCCGAGGGGTATGTCCCACCGGAAGATGTTGCGGCTGGGGTGTATGCCCTGGTGACGAGACAGCTCACCCGGAACGAAGTGTTGTCCCGACCTGATGCACTGCAGGCGATCCGCAAGGAGTTCGATGGTGTTGGTTCCATGGGAACATGGGAACTTGAGTCGGTTGATGAGGAGTTCCGTGTTAAGGAGGCTGCATTGCAGAGTGGAGAAACCATCCACATTGCAGACTTGCTTGCTGCGTCTCCTGCTTCGATCGTTGCAGCCAATAGCGTTATTTCCTTTGGTCTTTTTGAGGGACACAAGTTGTCGTCGGCAGACGCCGTCAAGGCGTATCTCCAATCGGAATTGAAAAGTTTGGCTGCCACATACATCCGTCTCCCAAGAGAGTTATGGCCTGAATCTTGGTTCACCCCAAGTGGCTACCCTCGTTTCAAAAGACCAATCATTAGATTGCGCAAATCGCTGTACGGACACCCAGAAGCTGGGGCCCATTGGCAACAGTTTCTTGAAGAACAGTTGTGTCTCTTAGGAGCAGTCAAGGTTGAGGAGTTTGCATCCACCTTCACCATTCCCACCTTCGGAGGATTGGCATTGGTTGTCTACGTGGACGACTTGATTCTCTCAGGACCAAGTCAATGGCACGAGCCTTTCTGGGAGGCGTTGGGTGAAAAGGTGTTGATTGATGACATTGGACCGTTGGGTCGCTTTCTTGGTCGACACCACTCCACTGTCGAGGTTGACAACACAGAGTTCTTTGGCTTTGACATGCGTGCTTACGCTGAGGCTACTGTTCAAGAGTATTTGAGGGTTGCAAACAGCCCAAAGATGAAAGTGGTCGCATCACCGTTTCTCAGCAAAGGGTTCGTTGGAGCAGATGAGCGTGGTGCTCTGGCAGCTTCAGCCAGCAGCATTCTAATGAGACTCATGTGGTTGGCACGCCTTGCTCGTCCCGACCTGCTGAGAGTTGTGACTTGGTTGGCAACCATGGTACAGTCCTGGACGCAAGCTTGTGATGCGTACCTGTACCGTGCCATATGCTACCTCGAATGCACCAAGAACGCTATGTTGCTTGGGCATGTGCGTGATGCGCCGGAGCATGTGTTTGTTGAGCTTTTCGCAGACGCAGACTACTGCGGAGATGATGAACACACCCACAGTACCACTGGTGGATGGCTACAGTTGTCTGGCCCTCGGACATCGTTTGCTTTGGCATGGCTGTCGAAGAAACAGACGGCTACGTGCCGAAGCACGACGGAGGCAGAGACTGTCGCATTGTCGTATGTGCTCTTTGAAGAGGGTTTGCCATTGGTTGAGTTGTATTCCGCAATGCTTGGACGTCCTGTGTTGTTGAGGCTTCGTGAAGACAACACTGCATGCGCGAAGGTCGTGACAGCTGGATACTCCAAGAAGCTGAGGCATCTCAAGCGCGTACATCGCGTGAGTTTGGCTTCAGTGAAAGAACAGTTGGACCGCGATGACGTGGAACTGAGCCTTGTTGGAACAAGCGACCAGAAAGCCGATGCTTTCACAAAAGCAGTCGAGCCTGCGCTATGGCCCAAAACCCTCCAAAACCTTGGAGTGCACGATGGTTACACCATCAAACACACATCAGGCACTGGCCTGAAATTGGACAAGCAAGACGTAGCGACAGGACCTCAGGGCACGACAGGCCCTACCCAGCCAGGGTACAAGAAACGGCAGAAACACAAGCCGAAGAGAATACCTCCATACAGTGTGCCACAGAGCCTTTCCGAAACAGCTGGATAGCCCGGGATTCAGAACTGATCCCAAGCCGTCGAGCAGCTCAGGAGTCAGAGGGGGGAGATGAAATCCCTCAGCTAGAAACGTCCCCAAGAAGAACTGAGCTTTGAGTGAGGTTTGTGGCTGCATGTCTTCATGTATAGATAAGAAGAATCTAGGATCACTTATCCAAGACCGGAATTGTCATGTAAAGAATTGCATCATCTGAAATCGGCTTTGCCGTATGCACTGTGTGACTGGACGCCAACTCGTTTGGCTCAAGACCTTGAAAAGGGCTGTGGCGCGACCGGATACGATCGATCGCGTTTGTCGGCCTACCAGGAGATAGACCAAGGTTTTAGCTTTCAACTGTTTGTCACGTTTACAAACTTCACTCACGTGTTTTGCTAGTTTTCATTTCATTTCATCTTGCCGCTTCTCAAGTCTCTTCACTTCCTCAGAAGATAGCGTGCTTCCGGGTTCAGATGTTATACAGCACTTCTACCTGCCTCCCTGCACCACTTGTACGGAGCTGTTGTTGATTGCACTGGGACGACTGCAGCCAAGGGGGCGGACAGGTAGAACAATTATAAGCTTGGATTGGAAGTGTTTTGCCTTGGCAAGCTTTGACAATGGTTGAGGGGATTGGCATTTATGCAGGACAGGCAGCATCGCTGCTTTTGTGCATGCTTTTTGGCTCGGCAAGGAGCATGACACGAAGGGATCCTGAGCGCGCATTTTATCAACCCACCTGCCAACTCATGCATCAGTGCAGGATGCCCTACAACTTCTGTATGTAAGCGAGGATGTTTTTTCCACCACGTTGCACTTAAATACAGATGTGGGCAAGAGACACTTGACAGCCATGGCAAGCTCAGTGCCATGGATCGCACTTCAGGAAACAATTCTTGACAAGAACAGCCCACCCGGGTTCCACTTCCTATGTTGCTTGCAGCCTAGGCTTCGTTTCATTTGCGTCCTTCAGCGCAGCCCTTCATATCTTGCAGGCATGTCAGTGAGGAAGGTTTGCTTTCATTCTGGGCCAGCTGATGATACTAAGGCTGAGGCCCTCACCAAAATCGCCGCATGGGCTGCATGCAAATGCTGCCCCGGTGCCCAGCTTGGAGAATTGACCAATTCGAGAGCTGGTGAGCTTACTAATAGCTGGCGGCATTTTTTGCGGTACTTTCTTTTTCGCAAGGACGTATGGTCCAAAGAAGGGGATGAAGGTAAGGTAAGGAAAAGTCAATGCCAAGACAAGCCAAGCCCAAACCACTTCAACAAGCCCATTCGCAGTCACGGCAACAAGAGCTTTTTGCTAGATTTGCTTTAGCTGGGGGCCCCGCTCTCTCCAAACCCCCCCCATCCAGCGTTTCTCCAAACCAACCAAAACCAGCCACCCCTCAATACCCTTGTAGAGTCATTGAATCAGCAAATCCATAAGGGACCGCTACCCCCTAAAGATCAGAACAAATAAGTGTTTTCGAGTTCTGGCCTGGACCTTTCAAAGTAAGGTGCTGGCGGTTCGAGAAGGGCAGACTGGACTCCAGGAAGTTGCAGGAGCTTCCGCTCTGGCAGAGAAAGAAGCCTTTGAAGCTTTTGCACGTTTGCCGTCTGTTCTGGGCTTATTTGTGATGCATGTTTGTCGTAGCGCACATGTGCAGACGCCTCAACCTGAGCGCTTGAGGTGGGAACCTGGCAGGGAGTCCCGGAGCCTCTTTCTAGTTACTAGTTCATTTATATACCGCAGAAAGGGCATAGCTGTAGCTGCCCAGCCCAGCCCAATTTTGATGCTTCAGATTTCCTAACTCTGGGCTTTGCCGTGGCGTGCAGCTCAATCCTTGAGGCAAAAGTTCTTTTTCACACACACGTTGTACGTTGCAGCTTCAGTCAGCGGAATCGGAGGGTTTGCATGGCATGTCAAAATGCTACTGGAATTGCAGCTTGCAGCAAAACAATTCTCATGGTGTTGGTGATATTGTTTTCGAAAGACTCATTGACCACTCAAATGATTTGCTTGTCTTACAGTATTTGTGTCACAAGGGTATTGATACCATGCTCCTGTGTCATGGATAACTCCGGGCCATGTTGCCTTCTTCGAAGAAAGCCTTGCAGGACCCGCGCGCGCACGCGCGCGCGCTCTCTCTTTCTGTTTTTTTTTTTTTTTGGTGCTCGGTTCTTTTCAGTCTGCCAAGTCCCAAGCCACACCAACAAGGCAAAAGTGGCTAGATGTACACATGGGAGCAAGGCTCATTCGCCTTGTACTCCAAGCTCTCTCAAGAGAGCATCTCACAACTGCTACCGAACTCGGCCTCTAGCTTTCAGAGCTCGGCCCAAATCGCAGCTTGCTCTGTTTCTTGGTGCCAGCACACTCTCCAGCCAGCCAAGACTGGGCCCGTCCGTGCACAATCTTAGTCACACGGTGGCATTTTTGGCACTCCAACCAGTCACCTCGCTTCCACAAGACATGTTGCGAGTTGGCCTTCGTTCTCAGCTCCAAAGTCTGCACGTCCACCGGGCCATGCTCACAAGGCTTTGCACTGAGCTGCTGCACCGCCTCTTTGCTGGAGCGCCCGGGAATTTTCAGCCAGCAGCGGTAACAGCCAAAGGAACTGGGCCTGCTGAACCACCTGTGCCCAGGCTGAGCTTCATCCAGCGCCTCAGTGGCTTCCACCATATCCAACTTGATTTGGGTGAGGGTGCGGCTCATCTCTCCATTGCAGCTCGTGGCCTGCTTCCGCGCAATCTCCTCATGAGTGGAGCAGCTCTTGATGTGGAGGCCACAAGTTTGACATTTGATGCCATGCCCGTGGAGAGCCCATGTGTGCTGCCCTTCCCTGCGCTCCTGCTGGGTCAACCGACGCAGGATGTCAAGGCGCCCTTTCGGTCTCACAGCCTTGACCTTGTAAGGGGTGGGCACAGGCTCAACTTTTCCATGCATGTAGTGCTCTGTGTCAGTGAGGATCATGCTGATCCTTTGAGCCGCCACTTCATAGACCTGTTGGTGCCATTGATCATCATCATGCAGCTGCCTGACTTCCTCCGCAGGGGCAAGGCTGACCGCCCTGTTCTGTGCACACATGTCAGCCTCCTGAAACTGAAGCCATGCCCTCCTATCATCACCAGTGGCACGTAGCATCTTCTTTGGAACATGGAGGATCTTCAGCCGCTTCCATTCTTCTGCAGGCAGACTATGCCATAGATCAGGAGCACACGTGCCATTGCCTCCTTTGTTGAGCGCTGTCCATCCAGCTCGATGCGCCACATTGACCTGGTGATGGCCAAGGGTGGCTTGAAGCAGCAGCCAGCAGCCGAAGAACCATGCTCGGGCTTCCGTGGCCTCGCCAGGGGCAACACATGTGCACTTGCCCGTGAGCTGCCACGAGTCATCCTGCCACGCTCCCACAATGATGGAGACAACAAAATGCCGCAGGCGGGGCTCCTTGCAAGTGGGACGCACAGCAATGGCAAGCCGCTGACTGGGTGGGACACGGATGGGCCACCCATGAGCAAACACACCATGGACTTCCAGTGAATCCATGCCCACAGTGATCCTGTGATCCGGCACCTCAACCAGTCCTCGCGACCACAGCATGGTGTGCTCATTGGCCTGAATGTCTCTAGCCCAGGAAGGCGGCAAAGCATGCTCATGATATTGGCACTCCCAAATGAGATGTTTCATGGTCACCTGGACTTGACACAGTGGGCACATCACACGGTCTCCCCCAATGCGGGTACGCAGTGAGCCCTGCGTCCATGCATCCACAGCTGACCGGGCCACTCCTTTGAGCTTGCGCATCACACGGTGGTACACCGTCCAGTCAGGCTTCCTCATCAACGGGAAGCAATGCTCCAGCTCCTGGATGCGTCTGGCACGCTGCAAGCGCTGTTCAGCTTGGAGTTGACGCTGCAAATGCGGCCAGGGATGGCCTATGTTCAGTTGCTGTGGTGGCATGATTCCAGTAGGAGCTCTGATCCAGTCATCTAGATCCTCCGCATCCCAGCCCATGTCCATCAAGTAGGCCTGGAGGGCAGCCATAGGCCCGGCAACGACCATCCATGGGTAGGCAGCAGCACTAAGGCGCCTCCAGGAGATACGCCATGCAGCACGCAGCTCACCTTGTTGCGACGGTGGCCACACCTGGATGAGTCTGTGCATGGCTTTCATCTGTCGTTCAACTATGGTGTCCTTGGGAGCCTGGAGCTTGACATGTTGATCGTAAACAATGTCCACGCTTCCTCCCTTTGGAGCCCACCATGACGTGCAAGTTGGTGTCGCAGGGTGCGGAGGCGCTGTGGCGCAATCCCTTGCGCTTCCAGCCCGTAGCCAGCTGCTGCATGCACAGAGGTCTTCCAGATGCGAATCCTCACTGGTCTGGATCGGAGTTTCAGATGAAGCAGTTTGGCTTGACGACCTCTGCCTTTCAATAGGCGCTTTTGCTGAGCCCCAATGCGTCTCCGGCGGCCTCCGCTTGAATCCAGGCCAAGATCCTTGAGAAGCTCATGGACCTCAGGTTCGAGACCCTGCTTCAGCTCCTCATACCCATCCAGCGCCTCCCTGCTGACAACATTTGCATCACTACCCGTGAAGTCCACTGAGATGTCATCCACCCACACATCAACTGAGGCCTTGGGGAACTTTTCAGTGAACTGGCCAATGACAGGGGCCAACACCAATTTGGCAATGAGCGGGGCCACTGGGCATCCGGCTAAGATGCCTTTCCTGCAGTGGACTGGCCTGGAGGTGATCTGTTCCCCCTTGGAGCAGGCGAGGCCCCGAGTACACTTCATAGGCCGCATTCAAGATTGCGGGTGGGAAGTTGAGAGGTTCCCACAGATCAAGGAGCTGCTCCAGTTCAACAGAATCATAAAAGCACTGCAAGTCCAGAAGCAGGGAAACGACATGGCGCCCTGTGGCACGGCCGACTTCACACTTTAGCAGTCTCATCAGGGCAACGTAGAGGACCTGCATACCCGGCATGCTGCGTTCCCAAGGGAGCCTTTGACCAACAATGCTCTGCCAATGTTTGAGCTTGCCCCATCTCAGTTTACACCAAGTACGATATAGGACACTAGTCAGACTGATGGGCCTCTCAATGTCCTCTTTCTTGGGGAGCAAAACCACCAACGTTGTGCAGGCTTGCTCAGGCAAACGGCCCGTCAGTTCCCACTGCCGGTACATGTGGCACAGGTCAATCACTCCTTCCAGTGGGAGATTCTTGAGAAGGGCGTAGCTGATGCCATCAGGGCCACTGGCCTTTTGTGGCAGCTTGGCAAGCTGCTTCATGACCTGGTGTGGATCGAGGTCTGCCCATTGCCGGGCCTGCACAATGCCTTCCCATCGGAGCCGTTCTCGTTCTCCTGATGTGGCTGGCTTGTCAATGACCTGCCATTTGCTGTACCATTGTTGCTCTCGCAGCTGCTGCCGATCTTGGACTGGTACATTGCGGAAAGGCCGAACATGCACTGCATCTGGTGCTTTTAGGCACTTATAAATGCCACTGTGCCCCTTCAAGGCCGCTTGAGTCAGCCATGCCTGATAATCCTGAGATTGCTGCTGCATGGCAAGTTTCTTGGCAAAGTCCCGATTGGCCTCGGCTCCCTTCATAAGGAGGGTCAAGGGCATTGAAATGCCCGAGAGCAGGTCTTCCAGGGCTTCTCTGAAAGCAGCATCCCCATGCACATTCTGCCAGCGCATCGCCAAGTCAGCCGCCTTGGCCCTTAAGTGCAGCATGACATTGTGACTCAGGCGCCCTGTGTGCTCAATGTGGGACAGCAGGGAGCAAAATTGGCCCCAGTATGCCAAATCTCCTTTCCTCCACGGGGTGAGGGGCCGAGTCATGGGCAATGGCTTGAGCTCAATCGCCAGATACCACCCTCTGCCACAACGAGGCTCTGCCAGGTTTTGCAGTGCATATTGTTCTGCTTTGTGACACCACTCTGCACATTGCAGTTCTTTGGGACCCATGGTGCGCCCCAGCCAGTAGGGTTTTGGCGCCGCCCGGAATTCTTCCCATGGTTTGGCAGCGTGCTGCAGTTTGGGCATGGCAGCATACTGTGTCACCTGCGACAAATGAAGCCGAGGGGCAGAACTGTCGATGGTGATCACGAGGCCCGCATGAGGCTTCCACGGCACATCCCAGTTGACCTTGATGTCAATGAAAGGGGTCAAGGCACGACTGGCCACCACGTAGTCAATTTCCGCCCCATTTATCATGGTAGGCTGTCCTGCACTGACCACCTCGGCTTTGAGGACGTTGAGCAACTGATGTCCATGCCACTGTGCAGGGGGCACTTGGAAATTGCCAACGACAAGCCAAGGGACCGCCAGCTCACCCAGGAAAGCTGCAAGTTCCCCCAAGACTGCAGCGTTATTGGTGGAATTCAAGTCTTCACCACATTTCAAATAGATGGAGACAAGGACAACTTCCCAGTTCTGGCGCTGCACAACGTTGGCAAGGAAACCATTGCCAGCCTTGTCAAAGTGGTGAATCTGGTAGGTAGATTGACCTTCCCTGCTGCAGAAAAACTGCCCACCACTAGTGCCACCACGCCCTGTTTCATAGGCTTCCATGGCAGTGACCTGCCAGCGGCTCCTGGCCATCTCATGGGCCGCTGTAGTCAGCTTGGTGCCAGCAACATGTGTCTCAACCAGCATGGCCAACTGGAGGTCCTGCTGCAGCAACCATTCTCTGGCA